TTCAGGACTGCAGGATCTGGAGCACAAAGGATCTGAGCCTGGTGGATTCCTGGGGATTTGGGTCATGTCTTAGCTACAGAAACATGACAAAGAATCCTTCCCCAATGGGCAGAAGTAGAATGACTTCTTCCCTCTAGCCAGGATACAATAATGCTCACCCAAGGGAGGAAGGAAGAGGGAGATAGCCACAGAAGGCAAGGAAGAGCTGGCCTACTACAAGAAGTGGTGGGACATTGGCTGAAAACCTTCCCTTCGGGCCAGCTGAAGCCTCAATGAGGCAGAATAAGCTTTCTGAGGATACAGGCAGGGAAATCTGGTTAATGTTGTGAGCCACACTGTAAATGTTTATTTTAATGTTTGCTTTTAATAAGGTAGCATTGTAATTGATTATTACATGTATTTGTTTTAGTTGAGTTGTCAGCGTGTGTTTGTCTGTCAGTATTAAAAGTGTAACTGGCTTGACTGTTTGCAGTTTGTTTGGACTGCAGTTAGATTTGAAAGTTTGTTCCATTTACATTGTAAGTGCTATGTGTGGGTGCATTCTGTGAATGTAGGTTTTCACTGTGCTTGTAGTGTACCTTTTCCTTTCCCATTCTTGCTGTGGTTCTCTGTGTGTGTCTGTCGTTGGGTTTTTTGCCCTTGCATTTATCCACCTGGTTCTTGTATAATTATTCCATAGATGAGGAAAAATTGCTGATTTAGTTTGGCCTCTGGCATATACACTGTACAATATCTTATTTCCTTTGATGCCTACTATAGTTCAGAACACTGTGGCAGTTGAGACTGGAGATTCAAGGCAAAAAGACAGCTGAAATTGTGTAGGCAATATGATGGGCTACATTTTCAAGTGTTTTATGGGCTTTTATCTATAGGATTCCCATTGATTTTAATTGGAGTGGCATAGCTAAAATACCATTCAATATTTTGAAAGTTTTCCATGTTACTTATCCCTGACCTTCTATTTTTTATAATGAACATATTGAAAAACTGGACCTTTTATGTGAAGTTCACGCTAGAACAAAATTTGCATTATTAGAAGGATGAGAGTGCACTGAGGCAAATAGCTGAAATGAGATAGTGTGTGGTGTATGAGTTGGAAGAAAGCAGAATAATTTAATGAGGAAGCAGCCTCTCATGCACTATAGAAAGTATGAAACAGGCTATAAGAATGTACGGAGGCAAATTTGCAGGTATGGTTTGAGCTCGCATTATGTGCAGCTATTATAGGATACTATAGTACAAAAGGTCAGTGTGAGACTGTGGATCTTTGTGCAATTTTATAACATACAGCAAACAATGCAAAAGCAAAAAAAAAAGATATCTCAGAAAGCGGAGTATAGCAAATCAATCAGACTAGCATAAATGTTGCTCAGTAAAAGGTTTCTTACAACATACACCTTATTAATAAACAAAGTTATGAATCTTGATTGTTACATGCATATGTAACCCATACACCTAATGAGTGTGTTGTACTATCCCAATGAATGGCACCAAGACCACTTACAAAGGAAGTAATCTCTGTGTTCTACAGCCTTAGCTGTAGCCTTAGCTGCAAGAAGTTTGTGCAGTAAGCTCCAGAAGTTCCAGGTTCAATTCTGCCTGTTGGCAATATACATATATATCAAACTCATTTATATCAAGAGTTATTCTCATTATTTATTACTAGAGCAAAAGGACAATGGAATATGTGGATGATTTAAAATGTTATTATGGCAAGAAAGGAAAAATTATTTCACTGGGAGGGTGGTGAAGCACTGGAATAGGTTGGCTAGGGAGGATGGAATCTCCATCGTTAGCAGTTTTTAAGGCCAGGATTGACAAAGCCCTTACTGTAATTATTTAAACTTAAAAAACAACAAATGGTCTGGTAGCACTTTATAGACTAACAAAATACGTAGATGGTATCACGAGCTTTTGTGGGCAAAGCCCACTTCTTCAGATGTATCAAACCTGGGTTAAAAAAGAATTAGATTCATTTATGGAGGATATGTCCATCAGTGGCTGTTAAGCAAGATATTCAGAAATACATACTCATAGACTGGGTGTTGCTAAGCCTCTGAAGGCCAGATCCTGAGACTGGATAATAGGGGATGGAGACAGTAAACTAGGTCAGAAATTTGGAAATGTGCTAAAAGCCAAGAACATAAGAATGGCCATAGCACATCAGCCCAATGGTCTATCTAGCCTCGCTTTCAACAATGACCCATGCCAGATGCTTCAAAGGGATAAAAAAATAGGGCAATTTTCAAGAGCTTCATCCCCTATCATCTAGTCTCAGTATCTGGCCTTCAGAGGCTTAGCAACACCCAGTCTATGTATTTCTGAATATCTTGCTTAACAGCCACTGATGGACATATCCTCCATAAATGCATCTAATTCTTTTTTAACCCAGTTATAGTTGTGACCTTTACAATATCCGTTGGCAACAAGTTAAACCCTCTGCCTATTAATTTAATAGGTTGACACTGAAAGAAGATATGAAATATCTTATAAAACCAAAATCTCTGGTAGCTTGTATGCTTTACTGTGACCATCTTCTCCAATAGATAAAAACTAATAGACCAGAGACAAAAATGGTTTCAATGGAAGATTTGATTAAACTTTAATCTGAAACAAACTGCTTTTTCGCATGCTTCATCTGCGGCAAAGCTGGTGTAGGGTGAAGAGAGGAACACCCAAACAAATAGATAATTTTGGTGAATTGCAATGAGATAAAGCTGTGTTAAAATATAAGGCAAACTCGGAGAAATTGAGATGGTGCTGGAGAATCAGGTCAGAAACAAAAATATGTGGTTAGTTGGCATCCATTTCCATCTGGAGAGGAAAGTTCGTCATTCCATTGCATACATGAAAAAAGTGATTGCTTCAATATTGGGCAAAATAGAAGAAGATGACCGCATCAATGACATAGAGTAGAAATCTGCAAAGTGTCTGTGAGAGGTATGGTTTTGAAACTCAACTGGAGCACAATTTTTGCCATAATCTGGAAGTTAGCTGTAGCCAGGAAAGAGAGACTTATCATTTGAAAAAAAAAAACAACTTTCTTTTTCTCAAATTAGCAACACAGAAGATAGTGGGAGCTGGTGAAACAATGTAGAGGCAGCAGTTATGTTTCCAAGCAGGGGGAAATTAAGGTATAGACACTGTAAGTCTGTGCCTAATGCCCCAAATATTGGAACTTTGTGAGATGATAAAATTCATGTTACATCAGCCTCTCAACTTCTTTTGGAAAAAAATATATCATCTAGGGTGGTTTCAAAGAAAAGTTTTAAAATGTGAATCACATTGTATCTCTCTGAGCATCCAGACAGCATGAAAAAATGAATTGCCCCAAGTAGATCCATGGTGTATTAACACCAAGATCCACTGTTCTGCATGGCTCTGACAGCACCAGGCCATCAGAAGACAGTGTGACAGATCAAAATAGTTGATAGACATGATCTACTAACCACCACAGATGAAATACCTTGGCTGTTGGTTGAAGTATCAGCTGGGTGGCACCTAGCAAGAGTGGAAAATGTTAAGCTATCTCACAAGTCCACTAAAATAAAATTCTGGGTTGTTTTGGCCAGTATATCGAGAATGTCTTTCTCTTCAACACAGAGGGGGAATGAAAACCTGATGTACTGCCTTTCTATTTTATGAAATTACACCAGGGATAAACTTGATCTAAATGGTTTCAATAAAAATATATAACACACCATTATTCAATAAATGTATTTCAGGAATCAACCATGCAATAATGTGGTGGTGTTTTTAAAAATATTTCTGAACTACTGAATCATGTGATTACTAACTAATAATAATAATTTCTAACAAATAATAAAAAACGCAACTGAACATCGTCAACAGAACAGAATAACACATAGTAATGGTAATGCTATAGTGTATTAACATACTCAGCCACACAAAATGACAGTCTTTTAGTTGTTTACCAGGCATGTCAGGGATTATCTTTTTAGTAAATATTTTTATTATTATTTTAATAGAGACTCAAGGAACTGAAACAGAGGGAGTTTGCTCGAAATGTAGCTTCCAAGTCCAGAAAAGATGAAAGGAAACAGGAAAAGGCTCTCCAACGTTTGCACAAGTTAGCTGAACTGAGAAAAGAGGCAGCATGGTGAGTGAATAGCTACTGAAATGGAAAAAGCACTGGAAAAATAATCCCCAAACTATTAGCTGGGCTGTGGGACACATGACAGTTAAGATCCTGATCCCAGAGCAAGGTGCATATATTTTTATGGCAAGCTCTAAGCTGCATGTATGCAGTAATTTGATCTGGCACTATGTGAAGAAATAAATGTTTAACGTTACTTTTTTAGTGGAGCTAAAATGGTATGTATTTTTAGTTAAAAATATGTTGCATATATATTTCATAAAGCCAGGCACAATGTTGAAAGCATTAGTGAACTAGGTCAAGCATTTGAAGCTCGGCATTATTTTATTAATGAGGAAAGGATACACTCTATTTTTCTGGGATGTAACAAATCTATGTGACTTAGTGTTTGAACTGCTCACCTGGGAATGCATCAGGAAATCTAGTTTTAAATTAAAATAGCTAGAGAAACTATCTAGGGGAATACCTTAAAAGAAAATGTTCCCTTTCCTGAACACATCAGGGTGCATATCCCAACCATAACAATTACTTCTCACCAGACGTATATTCCCTCTGGAATCTGGAAATATATTCTTAGTTGACACTGATACTTCTTCATTTGAGGTGACAGCCTTCTTACCAAAAATGTACTTATTTATTACACAGAGAACCCAGTGTAAAAGAATTTGAACCATTTTAAATGTGCTCCAACAGAGATCAATCCATCAAAGAAAAAATAGTTGGTGGTTAATGTGTAAATGAAATGTTTATCCAGATGTTATCTATGGCCAGAACAGTCTCACATCAGGGCTATATCTACACAGCAGCATTATTTCAGGATAACTGACATTCAAAAATAACAAAGAGCACATCTAGACAGCAAACCATTATTTCAAAATAATGGTGAGCTGGAGGACTTCTTACTCTGACTACTGTAACCCTATTTTATGAGGAGTAAGGGAAGTCTACAGTGCACCATTATTCTGAGATAACTAGCATTATTTTGAAATAACAATGTGAGTGTCTACACAGCCATTCCGTTATTTTGAAATAATTTCAAAATAACGGACAGCTTATTCCGAAATCTGTAAACCTCATTCTACAAGGAATAACGCCTATTCCAAAATAGCTATTTCAAAATAGCCCCTCACCAGGGCCATTCTAAGTTATTCCTCCCCAGTGCCTCCTAGGGCTCTAAATCAAGACAGCACATCTACATTAGGGAAGCCTATCTTGGACTAATTTTGAGGTTTCCCTGCAGTGAAGATATACTAATTCGAAATAAGTTACTTTGGAATAGCTATTCCAGAATAGTTTATTTCAAAATAAGCGTGCCGTGTAGACATACCCGAAGAGTGTTCTTCATTCAGCTTCTTGTTGTGCAGCCAGCACCAAAAGCCGAATTAAGCTATTTTAACTTCAGCTACACAATTGACGTAGCTGAAGTTGCATAGTTTAATTTGACTATTGACCTGCTGTGTAAATGTGCCCCAGGTGAGCTTTAATGCTGAAGTAGTGATACTTAATTTTGTCAGACAGCTAATATACTCCTTAATTCTGCCCAAAATAGTTGGAAGTGCATATATGTTTTGAGCACAAAATATATGTTTTTTAGCAAACTTGGGACTTGCACATTTAAAATGGATGTGCTTACCAAGTTTACGGACAGAATTAAAGAAGCTCATTGGATGAAAAGGAGCAGATATTGTTAAGAGATTGAGATCATTTTTAAAATTCCTTTTTTAACCTATCTATATTATGTAGTTCTCTTCAGTCTATACATTGTTCTGATTAACTGAGAGTAGGTTCAAAAGCAGCATTAAAAATATTATACTTTCAACTAAATTTAAACCTTATTCGTAATAGAATGAAATAGTGTGTTTTGGGACTAGAAGACTAAAGAACGTGATTCAGCTTTATAGACTAATACCACTGGATCTTGGTGGTGGTGATCTTCTGTGTCCCCGGAACAGAGCAGTGCCAATTACTACAAACACCATTCATATTTTTATTTTTTGGAAAACCCGATTTTTTGACAAAAACAGAAGACAGAATTTAGCAAACTTCAGGCAATGGCATCAGTTCAGATGTTTTTGGTGGGAGGGGAAAATTCTGGTCCATAGCACTCCTTTCCACAACAATGTCCCTGGTCATCCCCTTTTCCCACACACAGACTCAGCCTCCCTCAGCCAAGCAGCCTCCTTTTACCCAGACGGTGTTTATCTATTGTGGAAAGGCGTCAAAATTTGAGTGGACTTCCCTGTGCTCCACCAACCAGACTCTTCACATTACAACATCAACTGGCTTAGATGCCCTTCCATCTAGACAGAGAGGTAGCCAGGCCAAATTTGAAGAGTGGTGCAATTCCATGCACCAGATTACAAATATCCTACAATAAAATTTGGTCGAGTTGCTTCTCTTTCTGATTTAGTGCAGAACCACTGCTTAAAAGTGGTTGGGTCATGGCTACAGTCTTTATAGCCCTTGGAACTTTGAGCTAATACACAACTCTCTGGGGAAGGCTGTTCGCCTTTTTCCCTCGCTTTCCTAATTGTTGCCACTGATGTCAGATTATACTGTAAGGTTGGTAACAAACATATTTTTGGCTTTGTTTCCATTCTGTTTTTTGTCAAGTACTATTTCTGTTTTGAGGGGATGATGTTTCTATGAAGAGTAAGACTGCATCTGAATTTTGTGTTCTGACTTTATTGAATTATTACTATATTACTGTTCCTATGGGAGCAGCAGATAAACAGACACACAAACATTTTTGCTAAAATTACCTAGGTTTGAATGATAAAAAGCTTAGCTCTGTGGAATAGCCAGTCTAAAGATATTTCCAACCTAGCTGGAGTCAGGTACCACAGGAATGCTCACGAGAAACCCATTCCTTATGAGATATCCACGCCTATTTCCAGCCAAAACAGATTAACCACAGCAAGGCATCCATGCATGTAGATGCATAAAGTCACCTGTCCTGACTTTATGAAGGATTTTGAGTTGTTCCATCATTACTTCAAATATCAGTTTGATTTTCCAGTTAAAACCAGCTGTGTTGTACTAAATTGGGTACGTTTTAAAAGTAGCATAACCTGTGCATGAATGCAGAAATTCCCAAATTATGATCTGTAGTCTATGGGTGTTCTTTTGGCTCTTCTCCTGGCTTCTTGTTGAGTAAAACATACCAGATGGAATGAAGAGATAGAATCAAGAACAAAAGTAGACAGCATGATTAATTTTTTTCATGAAGGATAAATCACATAGGGTGCATCTATACTGCACCCATAGCTATGCAATTTGAGCTATGCACTTATTTCAAAATAATCCGCTATTCCGAAACATCCCTTACTCCTCATGGAATGAGGTTTACAGGGATGTCAGAATAATGTTGGGCATGCTCAAAAGACGCGTCCTTGCAGTGTAGTGTAGAAGTAGCCTTTTTGAATGAGGATCAGCTGAAAGTACATAAATACTTACCTGTTCTTTATTTATTTTGCATGTAAGAATTTGATACAGTTTTCACGGTTACGTTTGTGATCACAGATGGGAGGAGAGGCAGAGTGGGAGGAGAGGCAGACATATCTATGAGACAGAAGTGATTTAAGAGGCATCCATTGCAGGAAGAAGAAGTTTGAAACCCCCTGCTATAATGTCTTGTTTCGGAGCTATTGATTTAACATAAATTAACCTGTTCCCTTAGAAATCTTTGTGGAAACAAATGTAACACAATGTTCTGGCAATAACAGTACAATAGAAATGCAGTAACTGTGAGCTTTTAATTTAGTTGGAGTGTACTCATGGCAGGTTTTGTTGTGTTTTTTAGTGCTCCCGGGAGTGGCCCTATGTTCAAGTCCACTACAGTTACCGTGAAAGATAATTTCCATGAAATCCCACAAAGTACTATCATAGACTCTTCTAACAAACAACAAAATTTCAATTGCACATTAGTGCACAACACACAGAATACTAAAGAGGTTACTTCTAGTGCTTTTTCTGCTTCTGAAACTGCAACTAATAACAAATCTGACAGTAACAAACTTGGGGATCAAGTACAAGGAGCCCAGGGGCATAAAATAGGATTCTCCTTTGCTTTTCCTAAGAAAGCATCAGTGAAATTGGAGTCCTCAGCTGCAGTTTTCTATGAATATAATGATGAAACATCTCATGAACATGGATTTAGCAGAAGAAGTAGATTTGTTCCAGGAACTTGTAATCTTCAGTCTCCATCAGCAACAGAAATAGTTTTGTGCTCTGAGGAGAAACATAACTACATTCCCTCACAGATAGAAAAATGTACTAACACAGCAGAAGCTTCCAATGTTCAAGAACCAAAAGAACTATCCAGTAAAGAGAATATAATACTAGAGAACACAGTATTAATATTCTCATTTGAAACAACCAATGTCTGATGATTTGGATGATTATTGTGTTGATATCAATTCAAGAGCATTACCAGATCAATTATTGTCCACAGTTGCTGCTAGTAATCAGACACTATGTGTAGAAAATAATAGTTCTGAGCTTTTGGGAAAGAAATCCACAGCTTTTGATATCAGTGATGGTTGCTTATCTTTACAAAATATAACAGAGGAAAATAATCAATACATTCCTAGTGATTCATCCACACCTGAAGCAGAAATTAAAAAACCTGGGTGTGAAACATCATCAAATTCTGAAGGGGAGATTACAGCCTCACAGAACAAACAAGAGACACACAAAAGACCTTGTGAACCATTTGTTCCTGTTCTGAGCAAACATGGATCATCCATTCTTCAGTGGCCATCTGAAATGTTAATTTATACATGTACTGAACCATCTATTTCATATAGCTGTAATCCCTTATGTTTTGATTTCAAGTCATCAAGAGCAAATAACAGCATGGAGAAAACTAAACATCAGCCAAACATTCCTCATTCTCATCACACAACTGATTCCAACCAGAGTATTGTTTTAGATGACCCGGATAGTTCTATTTCAGAATGTGCTGATTACAAAACAGAGAGTAATAAAAATATGTGTGACCAAACAACATTACTTATAAGAGATGTTCCGTTAGCTAAAAGCTGTAAACCTGCAACAAATCAAGGTAAAATGTGCTTGGATGCCTCTTTCAGGATTGGGAAAACAGAAAAATACCACATTTCCAAAAACCATTTACAACAGGACACCATGATAGATGATAAACACAACAAAGTATGGAACAAAGAAACTCACAAAAGATGGTTTCACAAAAATAGAAAAAGAAGAAGAAGGAGAAAACTGTGTCCTCACTATTATGAGCAAACAGCAAAGGCAGAAGCTGAAGCATCTTCAACAGTTGAACAGGAAATTAAATATGTCAATGAAGATAAGCCTGAGCACCTTCAGAACACTTCAGAGAAGTGCAGAGATGAAACTGGAAGCATATGGTTAGCTGCAGAGCAGTTGCATCAAGCATGTAAAAAACTTGGCATTGAAAACAGTGATCGCAAAAGAACCATGTTCACAGAAACACACATACAGGGAGACAAAGACCCATGTGATACTTGGAATACAAAAAATAGGAATGACCATTGCACTGATGCTGAACCTCAGCACAGAAAGTACAAAACAAACTCTCATAGACAGTCAAAACAACGGACTTTGAATTCTGGAAGACATAACTTAATGTGTTCTAGAACTTTATGTAGCTCTAAGGTCAGAAGATCTAACTGTAGCCCAGATCATCAATGTTTGGAAAAATATACAAGTCAAAGCCAGTCCATAAAGAGAGCCTACAACTTTCTGACTGATGAACCTGAAAGGTCTCATCGAAAACGAAGACAACATACGTATTCTTGTTCATCAGATGAAAGTACATGTAGACAGGCATTTTTATCAGAAGAGTATCTCAGGCAAACAAGTAATTTAGCAGTACATTGTAAGCCTAAAAGGAAAAGAAGGAAAAAAAGACCTAGAATCCAGCACCTATTTGTCAATAAAGAATCAATAAATGAAACCCATAATTCTACATTAAATATTTTGGGGGAATTGTTAACACAAGAAAATATACAGCAAACAAAAGCTCAATCCACAGAAGCTTACACAAAAAATGTGGAACAAACAACAGAGCTGGTAGAAGAAAAGTTGACTTTACAATCTGATTGTTTACTTTTATCAGACAATAACAAGCCAACGGAGTGTTCAGCTCTGGAGAGCTCTCCAAATACATATTTGGAGGACCTCACGCATCCTGTTGCTTTTGTGATTGAACATGGTGCTGTGACAACTGCCACACCAGAGAACACATTAGAAAAAGAAAAGAAATATGAAAATGTAAGGGGTCCTGAAAGTCAAGCTGCTTATAAAGTGCCCAGTATAGATAGAAATGTGGAACAAATTCCTCATAAATCATATCTGTGCCACTATGAAGTAGCAGAGACCATACCACAAGAAAAAATAAATGAGACAACCACTGAATGGCTGCAGCTTAATTCAGGCACATTTAACAGCCCTCCACCTTTGTCATTCAAAGAAGCACATATAAATAGTCATACCTTTTTAACCACTGAACAGATACTTGCCCCATTTACATTGCCTGATCAGACTTTAATATTTCCCCCAGAAAACCATGGAAAATTCAAAGACTTGCCATGTGAGGCCTATCAGCAGCTCATGCAGCAAAACATGTTGGCTAACAAGGTGAAGTTTGCCTTTCCTCCCACTGCATTCCAACCTTCTAATTCTCCTCTGCAGCCTTTGCCCTTGCAACAGCCATTATGTTCTACCTCTGTAACCACAATCCATCACACTGTTTTACAGCAGCATGCTGCTGCTGCTGCTGCTGCTGCTGCAAGTACATTTAAGGTTCTACAGCATCCCCAACAGTTTCTTTCACAGGTCCCAACCCTTTCAAGAACACCTTTACCTCATCTCGCAGTAGGACCTAGACTCTGTCCAGGAACCCATACAACTTTTGTTGCTCCACCACAGTTGCCGCTAATTCCAACTTCTGTCTTTCATCCGAGTCACCTGGCTTTCTCTCCTTTACCCCATGCACTGTTTCCTTCGCTGCTTTCACCACACCCAGCTGTCATTCCATTGCAGCCCCTCTTCTAGGTCACGTTTTTCTACAATCAAAAAGGTAAGAGCTATCTCCAAATGAACATACTGCTATATGTAATCACTCATCAAATCTGACAAATGGTTCTTTAAGTGACTGGAATAAACTGGTTAAAATGCCTCATTGTTTTGGAATCATTTACTATAAGTGTAACAATGCAAATATGTATGTAAAGTTCAGCTCCATAATATAACTAAAGCACTGAATAATCTGATACTAATATGAACTATATATAAATATATATACATATATAGACAAGAAAATCATGTCTTAGAATATGCATAATGTATATAAAATATATTTATAGTATTGTAATTTATGTTGTAAAGTATGCTCCTTTTAGTTTTTTTTTAATCTTTGTGAACTTGCACCTATTTAATGTTTAGACAAAGCTGATGCACTGTTTTGTACTATGTTTCTTGAAACTGTAAATCTAGTGACAACTATCTCTTGCAATAAATTTTTGTTAACTATTTAAGTATATAAAAATCATTCATTTTAAGCCTCACAGACGATGGGTTTCAGCACTTGAATAAAATAGTCTGCTCCTGCTATGTTTGGATAATCAGGTTTTCTATCATTTAGTGATTTATCACCAGGCTCAGAGGCTAATGCCTTAAGGGTAACTGTGTTACCGAGCAAGGACAAAGGGTAATAGATCTGTTTGTGTTAGCAGTTTGATGTCGCTGAGACAAATTTTGTCCACTTGTAGTATGCACACAACTCTTTTCTATTAAACTAAAAGTGACTCTTTTAAAGTAACATAAATTACACGGGGGGAGGGGAAGCAAGGACATTCAGCGTAACTGTAAATCATATCTGCATTTAGCTTATTAAACATAAATAGAACCACTTTTCCTGCCAGCTGACATCAACATTTGCACAAATACATGACTGAACCCACCAACACTGATTTGCCATTTTGCTCCTGCAAAGCCCACATTTCTACATGGAAATAGAACAGCAAGTCATTCAGTGGCAGCATGCACACACATACCATGTGGTTTGTGCATACATGCTCCTTTTGCCAGTGCAATTCATTTTATGGCTACAAACAGGCACATTTAAATGGCTAACTGTTCAGAAAATGTAGCCAAATAATTGCATTGTTCCCTTGGACACATACTATCATGAGAAACAAATAAGTCTATCAGAGGGAATAATGTTTCCTCTTATGTATCATCTCATTCTGTAGGTGGCAATGGCAAGGATATTTGGGCATATGTGAACTGAGGAAAATTACAAATTTGACAAGGAATTTCCAATCTTATAAGGGCTTGAATCAAACTCTTATACGATCACATTACCAATTTTGTTTGAATGTTTTCATATTATATAGTTTAGAGCATTTTAGGTATGATATATATATATATATTTTCATATGAAGAGCTCCATTCATGCTGGTAAAAAAGAGGATTTGCAGAATTACTGATATTGGTATACCCTCTTGTAATAAAAAATGTAAAGAATTATTTTAAATTTCATGTTGGCTTCCTTTCTTCATTTTTATGATTATAATAAAATTAATTATAAATAACACTTAAGAAAAGATCATTTTTAAAGAATGTGTTAAGTAATTACAGATTCTACCTCCCTTAACTGGGACTCTCTGGTCCAGCAACATCTGTGGTCCAACAGGACCACAGATGTTCCTGGATCAAAGAGCCCACGTATAGGGAGGTTGGACTATGGGTGAGGAGTGGTGGAGGTAGGCGGCGGTGACTCAGTTGGGAGCCCTGTGTTGGGGGGAGGAGGGGTGCATAGCAGTAGTTCTGGCCCCTGCAGCCAGGCCGTAGTGGGGGCAGGAAGGCCTGGGAGGGGCAGCTGCGGAGTTCTGGTCATGGCTGCAAAGCTCTGGCTGGCAGCAGCTGTGGAACTCCTGGCCCCAGTGACAACCACAGTGCTCCAGCCTGGGGAGTCACAGACGGGCAGGCAGCAGCGGGGTCAAGCTAGAGCTCTATCTGGGGGCAGCAGGGCAGCACAGGAAATGATGGGAGGGACCTCCTCTGGTCTGACAAATCCCCTCCTTCAGGTCCCAAGGGGCTGGACAAGGGAGGCCCAACCTGTAATACCAGCTGTAAAAGAAAGCAAAATGGCAAAATTTATTGATAGACTTCCATCTATCTTTATATCATTGATCTATTCCATCTATATATTCCACTAAATACTAGATTATGTCAATAAATCAATTTTTCATATATTACATTCAAAAGGAATCTCAATCAATTTCAAATACAATATTAGGTCTTGGGGGAATATATTTTATTTAGTCCAAGATTTTACAGGTATTGTAGAGAAGAAAACTATACTGCGGCTTATATGGAGCACTTTGATGGCCTGATTTTCCAACTGCTTAGAGCTCACAAATGGGTTGTGGAAACAGGTGATGCAGGCAATGAGCAACTTTCAAAATTTGACCACAAGATTTTTGTTTTCTCCCTCCAGGTTGTGGTTTCATGCCTAATTTTGTTCAATCCGATATATGGAAAAAGTAGCTTAAGCTGTTATTTCTTTTTATATGTATATGTGAAATGTATTCTTTATGCTTTAACAGTTTTAAACTAACTTCATATTTAAGCAACAATTTATATTTGCATATGTTTTAAAGGAAAGGATGGAGCAAAATAATGTTATAAGATTACAATTAGAAAATGATAAGATAATGTCAGAAACAGTTATGTGCAGTTTATCATATTAACAAGTTTTATGCTGCCCAATTCCAGATTTAGAAAAAAAAATCATCCAAAAATTGCAACACATATTACTTCTAGTTTTGATTTTATACTTTTAGGCTATATCTAGACTACGTTCTTCTTTTGACAGAGGAATGTAAATGAAGAACTTAGAAATTGCAAATGAAGCTCTGATTTACAAATTGTGTGCTTCATTTGCAGAATGGATTCTGATTGCTTTTTCAAAAAAGGACTTTTCAGAAAAAAAAAGTGGTCTAGATGCAGTTCTTTCGAAAAAAAATATCCTTTTTTGAAAGACTCTGTAAATCGCATTTTTTCAGGCATAAGGGCTCTTTCAAAAAGGGTGGTTTTTCCCCAAAAGAATTGTGTCTAGACCGTTTTTTCGAAAAGAGGAATGTAGTCTAGATGTAGCTTTACTGAAATGTATTGTCTATAAAGGCATTTAACAGTTTAAAGATATTGCAAAATTATATAAAGTAACCACATTGCAATAGTGTATAAACTTAATATATATTAAGTACCAATAACGAGCAGGTGTAAGTACTCTTTATACAATAATACCTTAAGCACTAAGTTTTCTAATAATAAAGACCGAGTTTCAAACTGAACAAGCTAAAATCAATTATTTAATAAATATTTCATATAACTTGCTATTGTATTACAAACCTTTACTGCGTATATAATCTAGGTGTAGTTCTACATACTTATAGACTGTACATTGTCTTTTTTGATTTTACCATCTTGTTTATAAGTTTGAAAATCTTGGCAAGTGCTGAATAATGGAAGATATACCATTTCCTAGATAGAGAACCTGTCAAGTTTCTTAAATCTAATTCATTTCTTTAAAATGTTCAAATTGAATCAGAAATGTTGCCTTTTAATGATTTGTAGTTGCAGCTCATATTGCCAATTTACATAATGATTTCAATTTCAAGGCAAAGGAATAAAAATACGTTACTGTTCCTTTAAATCATCTGAGTTGGAGTTAATTTTTCCTCAGATTGCAATGATGAACCTAAATTAGGTTATAGATTTTTTTTTAAAATGGCTTCCCATTCACAGAACACCTACACAAAGAAATGATTGAAAAGTTAATATGTTCCACTGAGATGAGAAATGTGTTTTTTTCCTGTCCTTGGAAAGCAGCAATCTGTCCAGACCATGACCTTCCTCGAGGCATACCATTTCTCAGGTAATATGAACCATAAAATAATGTTGTAAATGGGATTTTTCAAGCATTAAGAATCATAATAATCTTGCATTGTTATTGCCAATTTGGACTAATTGTACACTTGCCTTTCTAATCTGTAAGTACACAGAACAGTTAAAATACTACAATGCATACAGCGGGCAAAAGAATCCAATTGTTCATTTTATTGAATTTAACCACAGATTATTCTAAATTTTAACTCTGCTTGAAAGGAATAAACACACCTGGGTTTTTTTCAGCAACAAGCAAAATTATTTATAGATACATATTGAGACATCGGATCCCCCGGCAGTTATGAAAAGCACACATTTTAGAGCCTAGTCCTGCATCTTGCAGACTGACTATAAAATCCCAAGCCTCCCATAAAGGCCAACTGCAGTTCCTGGGAGTTGTGAACCCAGCACCATACTGATTGTGTGCCTCATGTAAAAGAGGAAGATGAATGCATTGTGATGAATGCATATTCAAAAGCTCCTCAATATAGAAAGCATAAAATTTATTAGTATTTCATTATATTTGTATTTCAAAGACAAAAAGCAAATGTGGGAAATAAAAAAAAAAATCATGCAAAGCCTCAACTATTGATGCTGTCCCAGAATTTTGAACACAAACGATCTTTATTCTAAACTTTATTCAGTCATCTTCATTCTTAAGGCCCTGATTCAAGAAGTTAAACTTACATACATGCCTAACTTTGAGCACATTAAGAGTCACACTGATTTCAATAGAAGTATTCATGCAATTTAAAGTAGGCATGTGCACTTAACTAATGTTCTGCGCTAGGGCCTACAGGAGATATCTACAAATTAGCATCCAAGGGAAATACCAAAGTATATTCCTTTTCTTTTGTACATGAAATCAGGTAAGCAAGTTAATGTTCAGCTGTTAAAATCCAGCGTTTGCAGCACTGTATTGTTTCTCAAGTTTCATATTTAGCTCATTTTAACTCAAATTTAACTGAACATCAGAACCATTTACATTTTAGGGTTTAAAATATCATCCTCATTCCACTGCTCAGTTTACCTTCTACATTTGTCAGTATCGTAAAGAGAAGTTGAACAAATGCTCTGATCCATTTCAGGGGACATTTTTTACTTTACTGCAAAACGTTAGATAATGTGCTTGGAGCAATTTACCTTTCTTTTCTGCTGCCCTCATGTTTGATTCCAACTGTCCTAATTTTGAGGCTCTGTTAGGGATTCATAATACTTATACTCCCACAACCATGAGAGATTTCCTCAAAGGAGCTCTCATCCTCTAACAATGTGAAACAAAGCATCATTTCTCACTCCTCTTTTTACCTCTTGGTATAGGCTAATAGTGGCCTGATATAGGCCTGGTATAGGCCACATAGGGTATGTCTACACTGCAAGGCTATTTCAGGATACCAGAGTATCCCAAAATAGCTATGCCATGTCTTCACATCTCACTGTTTTGGGCGAGTATCCCAAAATAGCTATGCCGTGTCTTCACATCTCACTATTTTGGGCTTGCTATTCTGATGTCCCTGTAAACCTCATTCTATGAGGAGTAAGGGACATTTCGGAATAGTGCTTTATTTTGAAATATGGCGCTCTGTAGGCAGCACCAAATGATGAAATAAGCTATTTCAAAGTAGCAGTGAAATAAGATACACATTTTTTTTCGCGTTACAGAGCTGTGTAGATGCACCCATAGTGAAAAGCAGTTTTGGTTGAAATGCAAATATTCGATTAACTCCTAGGTCAAAACCAGACTTTTTAAAATTATGTTTTCTCTTCTTGGGAGAGTTACTCAAAGAGTGCTGGTCCTAGCATCTGTTTCAGTTATATAGTTCTGTGTATTATATCGTGCTTGCTCTTATAAAAGTGGATAATTTCCCATATGCTAAATTTTGCCTTTAGTTCAGTTTATACATTATCTTTTCCAATGTACATGTTTTAGCAATACAGTAATATATACCCAATAGATCCATGCATTTATATTGGGCCAGCTCTTCCTCTGGATTAGATCAGTGCAGCTTTGTTGGAACTAATACTGATTTACTTGAGTTGAGGATCCAATTGCATTTTAGAAATCTCCTGAAAGATCCCAAATAAAATTGAATCGAAGCAGTACATTTATAAAATTTACTTTTGTAGATGGCTTAATTTCTTTGTAATTGAGATTTATAAATATCAACCTTTTGGTTATTTTCTTCTAAAGTTCATGAGTTGTACAGTATATTCTTAATACATTCATTTTCTGATTTGCATTAAAAACTGTACCTTTTCACATGTATATGCAATATACTGTGTTATTGTAATTTTTACCATGTTATTTTAATTCTTTTTATATGGAAATTAGATAATGTTGTTTATAAAATAGAATATATGGTACTGAACAAGTGTCACTAATTATAAAAGAACATGATTTATATAAT